CGGTCCACTTCAGCCTCTTCTGCATCAGTGGTTGGGGCATAGACTTGGATTACTGTGATGTTGAATGGTTTGCCTTGGAATCGGACAGAAATCATTCTGTCATTTTTGAGATTGTATCCCAGTACTGACTTTTGCACTCTCTTATTGACTATAAGGGCCACACCATTTTTTCTACAAGATTCCTAGCCACAGTAGTAGATATAATGGTCTTCTGTCATACAGTGGCCAAAAATACCAGGGGCCATCAGGAGGTCCAGCAGTGGGGCCAGGACACTAGAAGCCCTCCCACTGGTCCCCCCCCCAAGCACCAAGAATACAGAGCATCACTTGCCCCAGACTGAGAGTTCCTATCTATACCTTGTGGCTAATAGCCACTGATGGACCTCTGCTCCATATGCTTATCTAATTCCCTCTTGAAGCAGTCCATGCTTGTAGCTGCCACCACCTCCTGTGGCAGTGAATTCCATGTGTTAATCTCTCTTTGGGTGAAGAGGGACTTCCTTTTATCTGTTCTAACCTGACTACTCAGCAATTTCATTGAGTGCCCATGAGTTCTCGTATTGTGAGAAAGGGAGAAAAGGACTTCTTTCTCTACCTGCTCTATCCCATGCATAATCTTATAAACCTCACATCACCCCTCAGTGGTCATTTCTCCAAGCTAAAGAGCCCCAAGCGCTTTAACCTTTCTTCATGGGGAAAGTGTTCCAACCCTTTTATCATTCCAGTTGCCCTTTTCTACACTTTTTCCAATAATATCCTTTTTGAGGTGTGGTGACCAGAACTGTACACAGTACTCCGAATGAGGTCACACCATTGATTTATATAGGGGCGTTCTGATACTGGATGATTTGTTTTCAATTCTCTTCCTAATAATCCCTAGCATCGCATTGGCTTTTTTTATTGCAGTCACACACTTGTCTCGACATTCTCATTGAGTTATCTACTATGACTCCAAGATCTCTCTCTTGGTCAGTCTCTGTCAGTTTGGACCCCATCAACATGTATTTATAAGGATCCCCAAGGCAGTGCAAGTAAAAACATTAGAACATTAAAAACAACAATTAAAATTACACAATTCAATAAAAACACAAAACAGACAATACCAGAGGAGGGCCAATAGCTGTTACTGGGGTATGCCAAACCAAGCAAAAAAAGTCTTTTCTCGCTGGTGGAAGACACCAATAGAGGGAGGCAGATGTATCTCCCTGGGGAGGAAGTTCCAAAGTTCAGGTGCTACAACCAAGGAGGCCCTTTCTTGGTTTGCCACCTATCTAGCCTCAGATGACAGGGGCAACTGAAGCAGGGCATCCGATGACCAAAGTGAATGGGTACATTCACCTGGGAGAAGGTGGCCCTTAAGGTACATTGGTCCCAGGCCATACAGGGCTCTAGAGACCAACATCAGTACATGAAGCTGCCTTATACTGAATCAGACCATCACTCCATCAAGGTCAGTATTGTCTACTCAGACTGGCAGTAGCTCTCCAGGGTCTCAGGTGGAGTTTCTTTCTCATCACCTGCTGCCTGGTCCTTTTAACTGGAGATGCGGGGGATTGAACCTGGGACTTTCTGTATGCAAAGCAGAGGCTCTTCCACTGAGCCACAGCACCTCTCTGAGCATGACAGTAATCAAGCAACTCAATGTGTCAGCTTTCCAGTGGAGAAAGGGTGGGTGGGAGCTCTGAGGGGCACCAATTCATTCCAGGATCTGTTTCCAAACTATCCCTACAATAGAGATGTTGCGGTTGGGAGGGATTGGCCCTAACATGCGAAGTTGCCTTAGGTGGAGTTGGTTCCTTGGTTCAGCAAGCTCAGCATTGACTGCCCTAACTGGCAATGTCTCTCCAGGGCATTGGGCCAAGTGAGGTCTTTCCCAGCACTGGCTCCATGAGGTCAGGAACATAAGAAACTGCTGTACACTGAATCATACCATTGGTCCACCAAGGTCAGCATCGTCAGCAGCTCTCCAGGGTCTCCCAGAGAGGTCTCAGATGTCATTACTGGCCCTGCTGGTGGACCTCTTGATGGCACCTGGGTTTTGGCCACTGTGTGACACAGAGCATTGGACTGGAGAGGCCATTGGCCTGATCCAACATGGCTTCTCTTATGTTCTTATGTTCTTACCTGCCATCTGATCCATTTAGCTGGGGATGATGGGGATTGAACCTGGGACCTTCTGCATGCCAAGCAGATGTTCTGCCATTGAGCCATGCATGGCCCCTTCCTAATTAATTGGATATGGTGGGATACGGTCCACAGGGAGGATTCCCTACTCCATCATGTACAGGTTCAAACCTCTTTGCCTTCCTTCACCCCTCATCTAAATCCAAACTTCCCACAATGCCCTTGTCTAACCAGTTATTTTCTTCTGACCCTAAAATATCTTGAAAGGAAAGGATACACTGGTGTTTCTCTCCCAAAATAGTCCTGAAACACTGATGGCAGAATGGAATCACCCTGACGTGCTGTTGGGTCTCCTGTAGCCTGGGATCTCTAGGGAAGGACCTGGTGATGTCATGGGTTGGGTACTGGTGAGTGATGTCATGGGGTGAGGCCTGACAGTGTCACGTGGAATAGAAGCACTTACGGCAGGACTTCCTTGTGCTGGCAGGAAGTCTACCACGTGGGAAGCTATGCAAGTGTTGCCACAGTCATATAGCTTGAAGGAGAGAAACCGTTCACCACATGCACATGAAGATTTCCAAATAGAAGAAGAAGAGGAGGAGGAGAAGATTGGATTTATACCCCGCCCTTCACTACCCAACGGTGTCTCAGAGCGGTTTACAAACTCCTTTCCCTTTCCCTCCCCACAACAGACACCCTTGTGAGGTAGGTGGGGCTGAGAGAGCTCTTGACAGAAACTGCTCTTTTTAAAGAACAGCTCTTATCAGAACTACGGCTTGTCCAAGGTCATCCAGCCAGATGCAAGTGGAGGAGTGGGGAACCAAACCCAGTTCTCCCAGATTAGAGTCCGTGCACTTAGCACACTACCACAATTGAACTGAACACTAATGCAGTGGTTATAGGGTTGGCAGGGGATGGAGGGAGGGACTTACTAAGAGCAGCAGGGAGGCCCATCTGATGTACAGCAACGTGTCCACATCACTGCCCACATGACCCAGAACAGATGTCATCATGTCCAGGAAGCTGGAGTGGCGGTCTGGTTTTTGGGCAAAAACTCTATGGTAGATTTGGCTTCTATCATAGAGTTTTTGCCCAAATACCAGAGTGTCACCTCAATGTCCCGGATGTGATGACATCACTTCCAGGTCACATGTGTCACGTAGACAAATCGCTGCATGTTGGATGGATCTCCCTCTTTTTGAGGGTAAGTTCCCCCGCCACCAGCCAGTTAATTGGCAGTGGGGAGAAGAGGCCTGACAGTGGAGGAACTCCACCTCCACTAGGGGTCTGTCAACCCTAACCGGTTACCACAAGCAGACATACCAGAGCATTAAAAGAGGTCATCAAGCATGTGTGGACAGCACTGAAATTTTGACCTGCTGACCTGAGAATTGGCTCCAACACCTAAATCTCAGGGGTGAAGTCTGAGTCCTGGCCCTTCCATTAGATTGGGGTCTCCAACACAGTGCCTGTTGGAAGTGAAGGACTGAAACGCTGTCCCTCAGCTTCCAGACTATGTGGCAACCGAGTTACACAACTAAATTTCCTAAATTTTCTTCCTGTGTTTACCATTCTGCCACTGTCCCCTTCGATATGCAGATTGTATTCTCAGGGAAATTTATTTCCTTCTGTTCACCCTTTCCCTGCACACACCAAGAGGGAGGACATACTGTCCTCTTCTTGGCACCATGACACAGATGGCCTCTCACCATCCGTGTCCATTTTTAGTTAGCTAGACCAATACTATCCTATCTCTAAGCTTTCCTATCTAAATTGAAGTTTCAGAAGAAAGTGACCAGTATTACTCTTAAACTCACAATGTAGCTCTGTGTAGCTTTGTAAGCTGGGTAACCTAGTGCAAAGACGATTCTGCATTTATAGCTTTATTTCAAGCAGTCTGCTAACTAGTGGGTGCTGGACTAACCATACCAATTAACCCTACAGGGCCCATGGGCCCTCCAAGTGTTTTAAAGAGGTGGGTCTTTTGCCCAGCAAGGCATCTGATTGACCACTGGAGATCTGATTAGCTGTACAGATCTTTGAAAATGTTGCTTTGGCGGCAGCTGCCACTGCAGCACACGGATGTGCCCTGTGTGACATTTTGTGGCTGCACCCACCACATTTTGTCAAAATTCCAAAAGTGCCCACTAGCTCTAAAAGGCTGGGGATGATAAATCTCTTAGATGATAAACCTCTGCCTTGGCTGTACCACTTCAAACTTCAAGTGAGGGTGTGACGGACTACATTTAAAATGCTGTTTTCCTAATGCAGCAAGATCAGAGAAGGGAGGTGTAGGGTTAACTGTGCTCTAGAACATTGAGCTTGAGTGACAGGCTGCTCCTTTTCTCCCATTGGCCAGTGCCAGCTGAGGGAAATATAAAACCAGCTGCATGCTGAGGGGAGAGTGAACTCATTTGGAGTCCAGCGGCAGTTGCTGTTCAGTAAAGTAGAAGTTCAGCTAAAGGAGTGGATATCTGAAGACTCTGACTAAAGAGTCTGTCAGACAGGGTTGCCTTCTGAATAACATAACCTGAGGAAGAATTCCATCTAAGAATGCAGAGCCTAGTGTCAGCGAAATGCTGAAGTACATTTGCACACAGATGCCAAAAACTGGGTGTGTTGCCCGTTTTGGTAAACGGTTCTTTTAAGGTTCAAGAAGCAATGACCAAACTAGTGATGGAAGGAGAAGCAGCTTTATTTTATACACATTACAAACATAAAACAGAGAATAACAAAATAACACGTCCCTTTCTGCCCTGAAAATATCAGTGGCAGGTCAGTTCAGGTGTATCGTCTGAAGGTTGCCTGGTCTGAGCTGAGGTTTTCTTCTCCCCCCTCTCTTCTCCTTCTCCTTCTCTCTTCCGTTAGCCTTCTCTCATAGAAAAACAAGCCCTCCTAACTTATAGTGAAACAAGGTAGTACAGCTGGGATTCATTCCAAGGGCAGAGAAAACATCTCCCCCATTCCAATACCAAGTGCAATTAGTTAAAACAGAAAACCCAACATCATTAATCCAGCCTGGTGTTGTCATCGAAACACACAGGAAAAAAAACTTGTGGTCACCACTATCTCCTCAGATTAACAATGGTCTTCTGCAATACCTCTACACTGAGGTTTGAGATTTTGGTCAAGAGTGATTGGGTAGCAGGCTGAAGCTCTCGATCAAACCAAAAGGAATAGGATTGTATTTTAAGGGAAGAAATAGAAGTCCTATCCAGTTCTACAGGGAATTGGCACTGGGGCAGTCCCTGGTCTGTGGTGGAAGGAAACGGTGGTCGCCGGGGAAAGAGGACACACTGCAATTTCAGAAAAGAGGAAAGAATTCAATACACTAAAAGAGACACCTTTCTGGAAAACCTGAAAGTTGTTAGGAAACTATATGCAGAAACTATATGCAGACTGAAACTAAAATACTCAGTCAACCGTCTCTCACTGATAAGAATCAAGAATTTGTCAAAAGAAAAAGAAAAAGAATAAGCTGCTGCAACACCATCTCGTCTGTCAAGTGAAAAATATATGGTTTTACCAACAGCATTTCCCTCAGCCTTTCCAATTTCTGACTACCCATACCATCCCTGCCTATTAAATAAAATATTATCATTCACTGTTACTCGGTCTCGAGTGCCATTTCAAAGGATCTAAAAGGAGGGCCCTGTTTTCTCCTGACAAGTTCTTGGGCTGGGCAAAAGCCAAATTAGATTCTGTCACAGAGTGGGGCATTCAGCTCAGTACCTGAAGAGAACTAAGAATTTTGGCGGGAAAAATCTGCCTCACAGAGAAGAAGAAGAAGAAGCAGCGGAGGAGGAGGAAGAAGAAGAAGTCTGTCATAGAGGGCTTTAGGGTTGCCTGATCTAGGTTGGCATATTCCTGGAGATGGGGAGAGGGAAGCTGAGGAAAGCAGAGTTTCTGGAGGGCAGGGAACCTCAATGTGGGTACAATGCCATGGAGTCCACCCTCCAAAGCAGGCATTTTCTCCAGGGGAGATGATTTCTGTAGTCTGGAGATCAGTTGTAATTCCAAGAGATCTCCAGGCTCCACCCTAGACTTGCAATATGGAAACAGTCCTCCGTGGAAAATAAAATTCTCTACAAGTAGAAAGCTAGCCTGTCAAGACAAAGACCACACCGGCGCTTTTCTCCTTGACATATAGCTTTCTAGGTGCGGGCAGTTTTCTTAACATGGGGGAAGAATCCTTGTGCAAATAAAAATGAAAGAAAGTTGAGAACTTACTGCCAGTCTCAAAATGCACACTGTCTGGCATCTATCTCTGAAAAAAAATCTCCCAAATCAAAGGGATTTCCCCCCACCCCCTTGAAGCAACAATGGTGTAAATTATCTCGTGCGAAAGCACAGAATACAGAACAGTTATTAACACCTTAAGTGCAGGATCATGCTTGGCGGTCATGCATTTGACCCTTCCCCAAGAGGATCACTAACCAATTATCTTCCTAACAGCTCAGGAGATTAGCGCCACTCCTTTAGCAGGCCGCTGTGTGTTTGGGCCTGGCATTTAGCTCCGTGATTGGACCACCTACAGCTTGGCCGGGGAGGCCCTTGCATATTTTGCTCTGGCGGCTGGTATGCAGGAGCTAAAAAAAAAAAGCATCCAAGCCATTAATGGGACCGGGAAAATCCAGAACTACTTTGTAAACTGCCATCTCTCTTGAATTCCACTGAGGCATTTGATGGAGGCTGATACCTAGGGTCACCAGCTCTAGGTTGGAAAATATCTGGAGATTTGGGGGGTAAAACCTGGAGAGGGAAGGGTTTGAGGAGTGGCATGTACTCAGAGAAGAAGAAGAAGAGATTGGATTTATACCTCGCCCTTTACTCAGAGTCTCAGAGTGGCTTACAAACTCCTTTCCCTTCCCCTCCCCACAACAGACACCCTGTGAGGTAGGTGGGGCTGAGAGAGCTCTGAGAGAACTGTCCTTGAGAGAACAGCTCTGACAGAACTAAGGCTTGCCCAAGGTCATCCAGCAGCTGCGAGTGGAGGAGTGGGGAATCAAACCTGGTTCTCCCAGATTAGAATCCACACACTTAACCACTACACCAAACTGGCCATAGAGTTCATGTTCCAAAGCAGCCATTTTCTCCAGGGAAACTGGTTTCTGTTGCCTGGAAATCAGTTTGATTCCAGGAAATCTCCAGGCCCCTCCTGGAGGTTGGCAGCCCCGTGAGCAACCCTTTCCCAACATGGGTGGCCTCAGTGGTTTTGTTTCATAATGGATAGGTGGAGGAGAATACCAGGTATTCATTGACAAGCTGGACTTAGCCTTAAGCTTGCCAAACTCCAGGTGTGACCTGGAGATCTCCCAGGATTATAACTGGTCTCCAGGCAAGTGTGCCCTCTAAGCTGAGTTAGTGTGAGCTAGTTCACAAATTTTTTGCCTCCAGCTCATGCATTTTTGTCTGAGCCCAGAAAGGATGGCTCCAGAGTCAACTAATTGATGCAGTAGCCAAATCGCTCGCTCACAACTTTAAAGCCAGTAGCTCACAAAGTAGAATTTTTGCTCACAAGACTCCAGAGCTTAGAGGAATTACTGCTCCAGAGCAAGCTAATTTATGCAGTAGCCAAATTGCTCGCTCACAACTTTAAAGCTCACAAAGTAGAATTTTTGCTCACAAGATTCCACAGATTAGAGGAAGCATTGCTCCAGGCTACAGAGATCTGGAGAAAAGGAGGGCAGGCTCTGTGACATTTGGAGGGCAGACTCTATGGCACTATAACACACAGGGGTCCTTCCCTCCCCAAACCCCGCCTCCCCAGACTCCACCCCCAAAATCTGCTCGGAATTTCTCAACCCAGATTTGGCAACCTTGTGTAGCCTTGATATCTCATGCAATGCGATATAATAAAAATAAGTCCATAAAAATAAGTGCTAAATGATATTTCAGTCCTGATCATTAAGCTTGTCTCCTTGTGGCTTCCATTTCCTGCAATGATTGCTCCTATCCTGTCGGTGGGATTTAGAAAGCTCCACTTCCATCTGTTCACTGGCTTTTGAAGAATAGCATTGACCTGGCTTGCCGTAGGCTGCAAGCTATTTAGATGGGCCAGAGTTCGGGGAAAACAAAATATGGGCTGCTTAAAGGCGACACTGTGATTGACAACCAGGAGCTGTTGCTTGGTGTTAATGTGCATGTTTGCATGCATAAATGCTCCCAGTGCAATGTCTAACCTAGTCTCATCAGATCTCAGAAGCTAAGCAGGGTCAACCCTGGTTAGTACTTGGATGGGAGACCCCCAAAGAAGTCCAGGGTTGCTACACAGCAGTAGGCAATGGCAAACCACCTCTTTTAATCTCTAGCCCTAATCTGGACGGCCTGGACTAGGCTGATCTCATCAGATCTCAGAAGATAAGCAGCCGGGTCAACCTGGGTTAGTACCAATGTTCCCTCTAAGCTGTGGAGTCTTGTGAGTGAAAATTCTACTTTGTGAGCTACTGGCATTAAAGTTGTGAGCAAGAGATTTGGCTATTGCATAAATTAGTTTGCTCTGGAGCCACATCCTTCCTGAGCTAAGACAAAAATATGTGAGCCAGAGGTTTTAAAACACCGTGAGCTGGCTCACACTGACTCAGCTTAGAAGGGAACACTGGTTAGTACTTAGGAGACCACCAAGGAAGTCCAGGGTTGCTACTCAGAGGCAGGCAGTGGCAAACCACCCGTTTGTCTCTTGCTTTGCAACCCCCCTGAGTCAGTTGCTACTTGATTCCACTTCCCATCATTAAACTCTTTTCACTATGACTTAGATGACGCAGTCTTGCCCAGAGGCATAAGATCTCACAAGCTAAGCAGGGTTCCTATGCAGAGGCAGGCAATGGGAAACCACCTCTTTTCATCTCTAGCCCTAATCTGGATGGCCCAGCCTAGCCTGATCTTGTCACAACTTGGAAGCTAAGCAGGGTCGGCCCTGATTGGTACTGGGATGGGAGACCTCCAAGGAAGTCCAGGGTTGCTACGCAGAGGCAGGCAATGGCAAACCCACCTCTGACTGTCTCCTGCCCTGCCTGGGTGGCCCAGGCTAGCCCTATCACATCGGATCTCGGAAGCTAAGCAGGGTCTGCCCTGGTTAGTACTCAGATGGGAGACCTCCAAGGAAGTCCAGGGTCGCTATGCAGAGGCAGGCAATGGCACACCCACCTCTGTTCCTCTCTCCCCTTGAAAACCCTATAGGGGTCACCTTAAGTCAGCAGCGAATCGATGGCACCCTCCACCAACACCTACAAAGTTGGCCACTCTTCCCCTGTTTAGACTTGATGGCACAAAAGAAATTGGTCAAAAACATTGCAGAATTCTGTTTTTTGGTTGCAGAATTTGAAAGCGTTCCCCCCTTATATTCCGGGGGCCATTTCTCCACCAGCCGCCCCTCCGCCTAGAGCACGTCTGTCGGATGGAGTGTCACCCTCATGTAAGAAGATGCTCTTTGAAGGCTTCGTTTCCTGGCTGTCATAACTGATCGGCATCCGGTGTCAGCTGCTTTGGAAGGCCTCTCCCAAGAGCGGTGGTTGTTCTCTCCCGTCTCTGTCCCAAACAACCCACAGCTGCCCACCTGCTCCTGAGCCACTGTTGTCAAATGTGATCCTTGGGGGAGGGGTGATGTTAACTATCATCATGATTTTTGGATGTTGATGCAGCAGGCGGAACGAACATCTGTCCCCACTACTCCACTGTGAGCTCATTAAGATACTTCGGGGGCAGGGAGTAACAGATTAAAAGCACTTTTCTGTATCCCCGTAAGTGGCCTGAAAGAAGTTTATTCTCTTGTACAACTTAGGGGAAAAAAGAAAAAGACAGGCCTGCTTCATTGTCTCGTGTTCCCTCCAAGCTGAGTTAGTGTGAGCTAGCTCACAGCTTTTTAGCCCCCAGCTCACACATTTTTGTCTTAGCTCAGGAAGGATGGCTCCAGAGCAAACTAATTTATGCAGCAGCCAGATGGTTCGCTTACAGCTTTAATGCTAGCAGCTCACAAAGTAGAATTTTTGCTCACAAGACTCCACAGCTTAGAGGGAGCATTGAGTCTGTCTCTTCTGTTTGTTCCTCTTCCTCCTCTCTCTTCCCTGAGAACTGCAAACAATTCTTGTAAGATCCTAGGTTGCCAACTTCCATGTGGGGCCTTGGTGTTCTCCTGGAATTACAACTGATCTCCAGATGTCAGGGATCAGTTCCTCCTGGAAAAAATGGCTGCTCTGGAGGGTGGACATGAAGGCACCGTAGCCCACTGAGGTCCCTCCCCAAACCACACTTTCCCAAGGCTGCACTCCCAAATCCCCAGGAATTTCCTAACATGGCGCAGACAATCCTAGAGACTACCAACATCTATTCACATATTACTGATGCCTAAGTAGGCCTTTAAAAAAATGTTTGCATGTGCAACCAATTGTCACACCGGTAAAGACAGGGTTGCCAGCTCCGGGTTGGGACATTCCAAGAGATTTTGGGGGTGGAGCCTGGAGAGGGTGGGGTTTGGGGCAGGGTGAGGAGGGGAGGGGAACTCAGCAGGGTATAATGGCATACAGTCCACTCTCCAAAGCAGCCATTTTCTCCTGTGGAATTGATCTTGGTCATCTGGAGAGCCAGTCTGGTGTAGTGGTTAAGTGTGCAGACTCTAATCCGGGAGAACCCCGTTTGATTCCCCACTCCTCCACTTGCAGATGCTGGATGACCTTGGGCAAGCCATAGTTCTGTCAGAGCTGTTCTCTCAAGGACAGTTCTGGAAAGAGCTCTCTCAGCCCCACCTGCCTCACAGGGTGTCTGTTGTGGGGAGGGGAAGGGAAAGGAGTTTGTAAGCTGCTCTGAGACTCTGAGTGAAAGGCGGGGTATAAATCCAATCTCCTCCTCCTCCTCCTCCTCCTCCTCCTCTTCTTCTTCTTTGTAATAGCAGGAGATCATCAGGTGCTGCCTTGAGGTTGGCAGCCCTAGAGCATAGATGATGTGCAGTTGCATGGATGTCATCAGTTTACATTTTCAAAAGAAGACAAGATTCATTGGAAAAGATGATGCCAATAGGGAAATCTGAAGGCAGCAGGAAAAGAGGAAGACCCAACGGGAGATGGATTGACTCACTCAATGAAGCCAGGGCTCACCGTCTGCAAGACAACAACAACAGTGCAGCACACAGTAAGAAGTAGCAAAGAATAATGGGGGGGGGGGAACTGTGAGCTGAATTTCCCACAAAATATTCATAAAGGAGACTTCATCAGAGTGAAATGCATCTATTGTCTGGAATAAATCTATCTGTATCACCCATCATAGAAAAATGCAGAAGCCAAATGATAAATATACAAAATAAATATCGACCCCAGTCACACGGGCCGGATAACGCCGGGGGGGGGGAGGTGTGGCTGTTCGCCCTGGAGCAAAAAAAAGCATGGTAGCCTGATCACACGGTCTCCCGAGGCTTCGCGCTTAGGCTGTTAGCTGGCGATCACACGGGATGCTGGAGCGTGGCAAAGAAGCCGCGCTGCAAGCGTGTTCGTGTGCATGCGCAGTTCTGCAGAGCAGCACTGCTTTCAGTTACGTGTTTGTGCGCATGCACTTACGAAAAACATCCGGTTTGCAACAGGACATGGACGGGCACCGGATGCCATGGGATACTAGCACTCCCGCGATCAGACGCCCGCCCCTGCCCCACGTTTTCCAGATACTACTGCACTTTCCATGGTACTTTTTAACTCTGCATCTTCAGCGGGATGCCACAGGTTGGCCACAGGTGCACTACACTTCCCAGATGTTGTGGTGTGATCGCACACCGAAAATCCACCTGACATTCGTGTCTTTAGCACAGCAACTTCTCCGTGTGAACAGGGCCATCAACACTTTTCCTAGGTAATTTTTCCAGTGTTTCAGACTTCTGCTCCTTCCTCAGGAACAAAGAACAATGTATCAGGACCACAACATGCCTCCACTGAAGTGGACTTTAGGGGTGCAGATTAGAGCTAAGGAGACCTTGCCCAATGTTGAAGTAATAGAAAAGCATTATCTTAAAAGGAGATGGAATGAACCAGAAGTCTGAAAGACTGGAAAAATTACCTAGGAAAAGTGTTGATATTTATCTTATATATTTATTTATTGGCTTCTGCATTTTTCTATGATGGATTCTATGGATAGATTTATTCCAGAGAATAGATGCATTTCACTTTGATGAAGTCTCCTTTGTGAACATTTTGCGAGAAATTCAGCTCATGGTTCTTTTTTGTTATTCTTTCCTCTGTCTGCAAGACCTGAGCAAGGCTGGGAATGATGGGACATTTCGGAGGTCATTCATTCATAGGGTCACCATAACACGGAAGCCGCTTGACAACACATAAACACACATTTCCAAAGCTCCGGCCACTGTTCTAAGGGTTAGCAAGTTCAATATGTGCCTGAACATCCAACTACCTTTGTCTCTCACCATTGCCTGGAAAGTGAATATGCCAGTGATTCATACAAAAGCACAACACACGGCATGACATTACGGGGAGGGGGGGGGGATGTCAAGTCAGCTCAACCAAATGGAGTGGCTAATTTTTAAAAAATATACATTGCGGGAAGGGCATCACATTTTCTGTTTCTTCACCGAAAATATCCCCCTACCACCACCACCACCTGGTTTAAAAATACGTCTATTTTGGGTCTCAAATACAAGTCAGTGATTCATCGCTCCTACAGGAAATTAAAAGGGTTCACACCTGGGCCTGGCGATATCATCAGCAAATCAGGGGAATGGAAGGAACATTGATTCATCTGCCGCTTGACTCCGGCCTGCAGCCATGGGTTTAGCTGAGGCAATTTTGGACCCGACGACAGCTTGCCTGACTTAAAATGGCCTGAAAACAGACTCCACATTTAGCTTCAACCTCAACATCCACCAGCAGTGAATTAGCTTTCCTTGATTCACTGAAGGGGATAGTGTATGCATATTGTAATTTGCAATATTGTAAAATATATGCTTCTAATTTATATATTTATTTTCTTCCTTTAGGAAACCTGCTGACCATTTTAATGGAGCTGCCGAAGCTCTCCCTACCAGGTTAGGATTATAGTTGCATCCAGGCTTCATTGGTTATTGAGCATTATTGCACATGAGTAATAATCCACAGCTGGATTGTCCTGTGCAGAGAAGATGGTCCAGTTGTGTATAACTGCTAGTCCACAGGGAGAGTGCAATAGCCAGTGATGCACAGATACAGCTCAGGGGGTCTATGCAGTCCAGGGTTACCAGCCTCCAGGTGGGTTCTGGAGATCTCCCGGAAAAACGTCTTCTCTACAGAATACAGAGATCACTTTGCCTGAAGATACTGTGGAGGGTGGATTCGATAGCATTATAATGCTGAGGTCCTTCCCCTCCCCAAGCCTTGCCCTCTCCAGCCTCCACCCCCAAATCTCCAGAAATTTCCACACCTGGAGTTTTATTTGTTTTTATTTATACTTTAAACTTGTGAATCACCCACTCCTTGTATGCACAGAGCTCTAGGCGATGTACAACAAAAGTTAAGACATTTGACAGAAGACAGAATTAAAACTGATAAATAACATTCCTTACGTTCTTAAAAAAATCTCAAGATGGCGTTACTAACCTGTTCTTAAACCCACACTGGACTCTGTTGCTGCCTCGTAGGCAGGGTAAAGAGGATGCAGAAATGGGAGAAGATGGAAGACAAAGAGGAGGGTGCCAGTCGTGATGGAAAACCGCTGCTGTCCTCAACCAAAAGCCTGGCAGAACATCTCTGCCTTACAGGCCCTGCAGAATTGCATGAAGTCCCGCAGGGCCCTGGTGGTATTTGGCAGAGAGTCCCACCAGGTCGGAGCCAGGACCGAAAAAGCCCTGACTCTGGTCGAGGACAGCTGGATATCTTTGGGGCCAGGAATTCCCAGTAAGTTGTTCTCAGTGGAGCGTAACTCTCTCTTGGGAACATACCAGAGGAGGCAGTCCCGAAGATACGTTCAGAATACTAGCCCAGGCATGAAGAGGAGAAAGGAAGATTATATGTTTTATTGGGGCTCAAGGAGCCAGGTGGGTCCAGCCCAGGTAGCTGGCCCAGTGATTTTGACATGATTCCCACCAATATGTTTCCTGGCACACAGATGCATGTTCCCTCAAGGCATCTGTCATCCAAAGCAAAAAGGTAGTCCCGGCA